GACCACCCCCCGGCCCACGTCCCGCTGCCCCCCGGCCACGCCCCAGGCGGGGAGCACGAGTGCTGCGAGCGGGTGGTCATCAACATCTCCGGCCTGCGCTTCGAGACGCAGCTCAAGACCCTGGCTCAGTTCCCCGAGACCTTGCTGGGTGACCCCCGCAAGAGGATGCGCTACTTCGACCCCCTGCGCAACGAGTACTTCTTCGACCGCAACCGGCCCAGCTTCGACGCCATCCTCTACTACTACCAGTCCGGAGGCCGCATCCGGCGCCCCGTCAACGTGCCCATCGACATCTTCTCCGCGAGACGCAGCTCAAGACCCTGGCTCAGTTCCCCGAGACCTTGCTGGGTGACCCCCGCAAGAGGATGCGCTACTTCGACCCCCTGCGCAACGAGTACTTCTTCGACCGCAACCGGCCCAGCTTCGACGCCATCCTCTACTACTACCAGTCCGGAGGCCGCATCCGGCGCCCCGTCAACGTGCCCATCGACATCTTCTCCGAGGAGATCCGCTTCTACCAGCTGGGTGAGGAGGCCATGGAGAAGTTCCGGGAGGACGAGGGCTTCATCCGCGAGGAGCAGCGGCCTCTGCCCGACAAGGAGTTCCAGCGCCAGGTGTGGCTCCTCTTCGAATACCCGGAGAGCTCTGGGCCAGCCAGAGGCATCGCCATTGTCTCGGTCCTCGTCATCCTCATCTCAATCGTCATCTTCTGCCTGGAGACCTTGCCAGAGTTCAGGGACGACCGTGACTATGAGGCGACCGGGGGGACCTTTGGCACAAGCAGCGGCCCCTTGGCCACGGAGGTCTTTACCAATTCCTCCTCCTCGGCCGTCTCCATGGTCTCGTCCTTCACCGACCCCTTCTTTGTCGTGGAGACGTTGTGCATCATCTGGTTCTCCTTCGAGCTGCTCGTTCGCTTCTTTGCCTGCCCCAGCAAGGCCACCTTCTCCAAGAACATCATGAACATCATTGACATTGTGGCCATCATTCCCTACTTCATCACCTTGGGCACAGAACTGGCCGAGAGGCAGGGGAATGGCCAGCAAGCCATGTCCCTGGCCATCCTCAGGGTCATTCGGCTGGTGAGGGTCTTCCGTATCTTCAAGCTTTCACGACACTCCAAAGGGCTGCAGATCCTGGGGCAGACCCTCAAGGCCAGCATGAGGGAATTGGGTTTGCTCATTTTCTTCCTCTTCATCGGAGTCATCCTCTTCTCCAGCGCTGTCTACTTTGCAGAGGCTGATGACCCCAGCTCAGGCTTCAGCAGCATCCCTGATGCCTTCTGGTGGGCGGTGGTGACCATGACCACAGTGGGCTATGGGGACATGCACCCAATCACCATTGGGGGCAAAATTGTGGGGTCTCTCTGTGCCATTGCTGGGGTTCTGACCATTGCCCTTCCCGTGCCTGTGATAGTCTCCAACTTCAATTATTTCTACCACCGGGAGACTGAAGGCGAGGAGCAAGCCCAATATCTACATGTCGGGAGCTGCCAGCACCTCTCCTCTACGGAGGAGCTGAGGAAGGCACGTAGCAATTCCACCCTGAGCAAGTCGGAGTACATGGTGATAGAGGAGGGGGGAATCAACAACACTGCATTCAAACAGGCTGCCTTTAAGACGGGGAACTGCACAACCACAAACAATCCCAACTGTGTGAACATCAAAAAGATCTTCACTGATGTTTAAAAAGAGGAAATGTTTAAAAAATAATAATGCAAAGTGACCATGTAATCGGTATTGTCTGGAACATGCATCTTCATTGGTCTGCGTGTGCCCTTGTTTTACACATATATTTTTTAGATCATTCCTATTAAAGAACAAAGAAGAGGATTACAAAATAATCAGAAGAAAAGAGGATGAGGGTGGTTATGGAAGGGAAGATGAAAGGACAACAACAGAAGAACACGCTCCCCGTTGAAACAGGTGTTTATTCTGAAACATGTTGCAGGGCTGCTTTGGAGCTTGGGGTTTTTTTTGGTTTGGTTTGTTCTTGTTTTTGCAAAGAGTCACTGTGCAGCCGATTTCCCTTTCGATCACACACTCATGCATTTGTTGGACAGAAAACCGTGAGTCAGAAGAGAAAAATAAAATTATATGGCAGAGCCTTTTTGCAGGCAAGGGGGAGAAAACCATTTAATTTTACTGATGGCCATGTTGTTAAATTATGCTAAATATTGAACATGTGGTGCATGTCCTTCATGGGCACAGCCTTGATTTCTTTTCTTCCCTAGCCAGATCGTTTATGAAATTTTAATCTGTTCAGAGACCCAAGTGCAATCAGTTGTGATTTAATCAGAAAAATTGCCCATATTCTCTGTGCCTAATTTCCTTCTCCCACCTATGGAATTGTTTCATCCCACCTGAAATTCCTGGCTGCATGGTGTTTGTGGGGAAATATCCTTCCCACATTAGCAGCTGACTAATCGAAGAGCATCCTAAGAGTTTGAACATCCTGTGAGGCCAATGCAGATGGGGGAAACTTAGGCTCCTATTAAATCAGTAATGGGCTTTTAGAAGTGACCGTGCAGCCTCAAACAAAACTCGAGCCTAGTATCAAAGTGTGTGTGGGGGTATTTCTGTCCATTTCCAATGTATCTGAGATAAGTGTCTGCATCTATCACAAGAGGATTAAGTGGCAAACGCCTTCCAGCGGAAGTTACTAATTCGGACCTGAGTGATGCAGTTTCCATAGCAACACTGGTTTCCTGGGAAACCCCAAAAGGTTGTCATGGTATCCCTTCGCCCCATCCCCCTTCAGCCTGTGCTGTTTCCACAGTAACCCTTCCAGATGGTTCCAAGTTCTGCGATTCCACGGAAAAGCCGCTGCTCTGGTAAACCACACACACATGCAGAGAGTTAATCCCAGAGAGAGCTAGGTGTAGACACTAATTACCCTCCATGCACACTGCTTTAGATTTGAAACATTCCTGCAGTCCTGGTACCTACCGAAGCAAAATGATCATCCTAGGAATAGGTAGGATGCTGCTGCACATGTTCAGAATAAAACACCTGTTCCTAGGCCATAAAGACAACAGACCTCCAAATTACCCTCGCTATCAAGTTAATATCTCATTGGTGAAATTAATTCTCTATATGCAAAGCTCTACATCTGCTCAGAAGTTCTAGAAAGGTGAACTCACCCGTTACTTAAACATATGGTACGTGACCTAGATTTTTCAAAAACCTCCCTCCAGTGCCAAACAGCAATTCCACTTTCAAGCATATACAGATTGGAACAACCTTTTTCACGCAAAAGGGTGTTGATCTTTTGACACTGGGTGTGTGTGGAGGGGGGAGTAAGCATAAGGGTGAAAAGTATCCAAAATCCTGAGGGAAAATATGCTTGCCTCGTCTCATCCAAGTCAGCGGCTGCGGAACGTCAGACAGAAACAGGTGAGTTAATGCACTGTGGAGAAAACATCCTAATACCTTGCAGCTTTCGGATGTCGCACTCAGATCTTAGTACCCACAGCAGCATGCAGCCCCCTTTATGATTTGTTTTTCAGCCAAGCATAGGGTCTTACTTCATTTTGATTTGCATATTGTTTGGTTCAAACCATGATGTGTAGAATTTAAAGAGCACTACATGGGCTCACTGTGCAGCGAAGCTTCAATACTGGTTGTGGCTTCATTCACCAATATTGTGCTCAAATGACGATTTCCAAAGTGGTTTCATTCATTTGGCCTCAGATCCCTTTTGAAAAGGAAAATCCAATCCAATGACAACCTGTTCCTTCCTGTAAAGATGCAAGAGGGGAGCAGCAGCAGTCAGAGCCCAGTTAAGATGCACTTGAGGACGTCTCACTGAAGTTAGGTGTTTTGCCGAGAATAAATGGACTTAAGCACACACAAGCATTTTGCTGAAATTGAGGAATTTCTCTTATTTATAATAAAAGAATGTAGAAAGGGACGAGACAAGGTAGGTTATAGGCAAATAATCATCTGATTTTAATTATATGTTTGGAGCTTTAAAAAAATGTAATATGGTTTAATTATTTATAAAATTCTTGGCTTTATTGAAGTTGACGTTTGACTACAGAGGAGCCAGGATTTCATTAATGATTTACATGTGGTTTTCTGTTTATTTAACATTTATCCATTTGCCTTCCTCTTCTTTGTGGCCCCCTTTGAGTTAATAAAACCTTTGAGAAAGTTCATCGGGTCAGATCCACGAGTGTAAAATGACATATCATTAGAACTACATCAGTTTGCACCTGCTCAGTATCTCCTCGGCTAAATGATTATGAAATGGTCAGATACAATATAAGCGAAGCTATGGCTGTCACTAGGTAGATGTGAGTGCCCCCTACTTGCCAGTTTTTTTCAGGGTGGGATCCTCCATATTTTTCTTTCCATACTTTCATGAACACTTTTGTCATTCATCCAAGTATAAGCTGTTTGTCCATCAGTTGTCCATGTAACTCCTCAACATGTCTTTTAGATTTGTGTACCTGTGTGTGTGATTTTGAAGATAACAAATCCTTGCTTTGAAAAAACTGTATGCAGATTTTCTCAGGGAGAATATTTAGTGTTCCTCATTTCCTATTTAGGATACAAGAAGATGCCTTTGGACGTGTTTTGAAATGATAAACAGAATTAAAGATTTTATTTATTCTGATTACAATGGGAAAGGCTTGAAAATAGTGTCTACTTTTCTTCCCCTCAGAGGACTCTACATTTACAGATTGAAGTCTTCTAGCATCAACATATTTGGGTATGTGGGGGAGGCCTAAGCATGAATATGACACTTCTGAATTATTAAAAAGGCATACCTGCATGTATATAATGTGCAGAGAGGCTTAATTAATCATTTTGAATTTGCACAATGATTTCTTACCATATTTTGGGGAGGGAAGCTTACCATATTTTGCACCAATGATTTTATTGTCCATAAAAGGTGATGTCTATAAGAGATCTGAAAGGATTTTATCTCCCACCTTGCTAGGGGCATGGTGGATCTCACAGGACCCCGCCATCACTTTTTGAGATCAGCTCTTGCAGCACATCGGACTAGAGTGTTTTTACTCTGCTTAGAAAGGGGCAGCTTTAGAAGATTAGTATGATCTCTTGTGCTGCATGTGAATTGTCTGGCAGATTATGGAAAAGCCTTCCCTGGCGGGGGGTGTCTAGGGTTATACACCAGTATATTAATGAAACATCCCAGTTGACATTGTCTGTGTACAGAAGTCAAGCAGTTCCGAGCTGGGATTTCTGCGCCAGCTGGAACTTGGCTCTTCGGTAGCACTTCAGACTGTTAGACATGGTGTTAACTTGAGTGGCCATGAAATGCATGTGCATCCTGTCACGGTTACAATCACAGTGGGAGCCAGAACATGGTTGTCTGGCTTCTGCGCTTTCTTGCCACAGCCCTGTCTTTCACACCTCTCAGCCAGGATCAGGGTGACATTCACTCCCTGCACAGGATGGAGGACAGAATAGACACAGAGGCTGTGTCTACACATCTGGGTTTTTGCGCAAGAAGCCTTTTGAGGAAGATCTCTTCCATAAAAACATCTTGTGCAAAAGCGCGTCCACACCTCAAAAGCACATTGCAAACGGGACACTTTTGCTTTTGCACAAGAGAGCGTCCACACTGCAGGGACACTCTTGCGCAAGAAAGCTCTGATGGCCATTCGCAGAACGGCCATCAGAGCACCTGTGCTTTTTCTGATAGGCTCTTTTTGCGCAAGAAACCCCTGTTGAGCATCCACACACACCTTTTTGCACAAAACGCAGTAATGCCTCATACAAGGAGGTATACCTACACCGCAAAAAGCCCTCTGTTCTGTCAACTGACTAGATTTTCTTGCAAAAGAACATGCTTGAGGTGTAGACGCTCAGCAGGTTTTTGCGCAAAACCCCTGAAGTGTAGACATAGCCACCAGAAGGAATGAAGCTAGGTGCCTCCTTACTGCGTGTGACCCATTGTGGCACTGATTGTCTGTGCTCGCACAAACCTCTTCTCCCAGTTACTTCATTTTACTGCCCCCCACTACAGAAAGGATGTGGATACATTGGAGAGGGGCCAGCGGAGGGCAACCAAAATGCTGAGGGGGCTGGAGCATATGACTTATGAGGAGAGGCTGAGGGATTTGGGTCTGTTTAGTCTGCAGAAGCGAAGAGTAAGGGGAGATTTGAGAGCAGCCTTCAGCTTCCTGAAGGGAGGTTCCAAAGAGGATGGAGAGAGGCTGGTCTCAGTGGTGACAGATGGCAGAACAAGGAGCAATGGTCTCAAGTTGCTGTGGGAGAGGTCCAGGATGGATATTAGGGAAAACTATTTCCCTAGGAGGGTGGGGAAGCACAACCCTAGAGGTGTTTAAGTCTCGGCTTGACAAAGCCCTGGCCGGGTTGATTTAGTTGGGATTGGTCCTGCCTAGAGCAGGGGGCTGGACTTGATGACTCCTGAGGGCTCTTCCAGCTCTATGGTTCTATGATTCTATGATTTCTTCCGATTCAGAGTTCACATCGGGCCAGCACTTCTCTTCCCAGCATTCATGAGCTATTTGATTTCTTGCCCTTCCCAAATCATAGCACTTGGGTCCCGCTTATTTCCTAGACCCCATAACAAAGTGCTTGATCCAATGCACATTGCAGTCAATGGGAACTTTTCTGTTGCCATCACCGCACTAAACGCCGAGTCCCTCCATGGGCTCTCCCCCCCCCCACAGGTACTTAGAAATCCTTCCCACATGGGAAACTGTCCTTGGGCTGCACATCAGGGAGCGTCTGGTACCAAGATGGGTAGTGTGCAGTGGGCACCGCCAACAGCAGCTCCAGCATTCACAGTAAGGGAACTGCTGCTACCTGGTGGCCCCAGTGAATCCTTACCAGCTTTGCTACAGCTGGGACCGTTGCAGGAGGAAAAGGCTGAATGCAGCAAGGCCCCTATTTATTCTAGTCAGGGACAAGTTGAGGTTCCAAGTAATGATGGCAGTAAGACTCCAGTGCCACGATGGCGAGCGAGCACTCCAGAGCAGTGCCCTTACTTAGCACATCCCCGAGGGAGGGGCAAGCAGCAGCCTCATTTGGGGTAGGGCTGTTGCCATGATTATTAAACGGTTCATGAAGACACCCCGTGCCAGTCCAGACAGGGACACTGATTAGCAATGCTGGTGCCCATGGGACACCTGAGATGGTCTCTCTCCATTTTCCACATTTCACTTTCCTCACCCTCCTGTTCCTTCACCCTTCTCTCTTCCTCCCAGAATCCCTTCCACTCCTTCTCTTCAGACCCACGTGCCCCCCGAACAGGCATACAGCTAAGTCGTGGTAACAAATCAGAGCATCTTTTCCCCAGACATGTCTTGTGCCTGGCAGCCCCAAGTGCTCTGCCTGCCTGTGGTCTCCCTTCCCTCCTACCTTGTGTCTTCTCACAGAGCAGCTCTTGGTCTAGGCCATCGGGCACAACCCAATACACAGAACTGATGATGAACAACAAGCTCCACTGTAGCATTTTATTATTCCTACTTTACAATTGGGGAAACTGAGGTGTGGAGTGAGAGAGTGACTTGCACTGGGCCACCTAGCAGGACAGTGGCAGAGCCAGCTAGGTTTTCTGAGTCCCAGCGTATGTAGTAGCATGTTTCCGTGAGTATCCACTATAGATTGCTACTCTAGGAAAGGCACAGCCTCTTGTGAATTACACACACTGTATGAATCGATTAC